CAGACAGCCCCCATCCGCGTCACCCGCTGTCTCCTCCGCCTCCCCCTCTCCCCCCTGGCGCACCACCAAGTACACTGATGGGGACTGCGGGGGGGGGATGGGGGGAGATGGGGCGGAGGGCCTGGGGGAAGGGGGTGGCGAAAAGGCGGCGGATTTCATCTGTATCTGGGAGAGGCGGTTGTTGTACTGTGTGCCGGTGAGTCCTTGTGGACGGCGTGTTTTGGCTCCACACGTGAAGCATCACTTTGGCTCTGCACTCATCCGTTCATTCTTTTTGCTACCTATTGTTTGAATCCCGTACTCCTGCCCCTCTTCTTTTCTCCCCTACTCTACTCCCACCCTCCCCAATTTCTCCGCCCTTGATTCTTCCTCCCCCATTCACTCCTCCTCTCCACCTCCCCCTTCATTCGTTCTGTATACTTCTCCCCTTTCAGTCCTCTCCTCTCTTCCCCCCCCCCTTCCCCAGGTACCAGGGGAGCAGCCGAGGGCGCGGGCTCTCAGGGACGGGGGGAGGGAGGGGAGGGGGAACCGGGGGAGAGGTGAGGGGGGAAGCGGAGGGGAGGAGGGCAGTGGGGCGGAGAAGAGGGGCAGAGAGGAGGGGGACGCTGAACCCATGGTGGGTCTCGAAGTTGGTCTTTCTTGGGTCTACTGTGTGTGTTGGCCTTCCATGGTGGATAATTTAGCAGTGCCATCTGCGCACTCTGTAAACCAAACCTTGTCCTCACAACACTTCCACATGTGCATCAAGTGTAAGCAGTAGTCGAGGCGTCTTAAGAGATCTCATGCTCCCACCACGCATGCTCTCAGGGCCTGCAGCTGCAGTTCAGCATCTCACACAGGCAGGATGTGTCTAAGCCGCCTAATGGAGCATTCCTACGCTTCCTACGCTTCCTATTCCTCATTGGTCTCGGTGCTTGCAGGGCATGGAGGTTCAGGGTTCAGGGTCAGGCTGATTGGTTGATACCTCAACTGCACCTCTCGAAGTCATGTCGTTTGTTTCCCCCACAATGAGGAGCCTAGTAATGGTTGCTGCTATTCTCACAGTCTTCGCACGCTGCGGCATAGTAGCCGCCACCCAGATCGACTGTGTCACGCTGTGCAAGAACGGGACACAGAGCGTGTCCAACCAAAGATGCGCCAATGATTGCGCGGTATGTAACTCCGTAACGATCACAAAAGCACTGCGCGTTCTTGTTTCACCTGCCAGATGGATCATCGCCCAAGGTCGCGGGTTACTTACTCTTCTCTGTGAAAAGGTGGAGAAACTGAAACTTGGCGTTTCTGGCGCCTTCGTTGGAAAAGGCTCGAATTGCCCATGCTTTCTGCTCCTCCCTCTGCTCTCTGCTCGAAATGCAACTTCCGATTTCCTTATTCCTCCTCCCTCTTTGCCACACCCCTTCTCATGTATATGGACCGCATTGGACCTCGATGGATCTCATCCGACCACATCACCAACACTGCATGATACTTCAATTCGTTCACTGCATCTGTGCGCGTCCAAAAATTTTAGTGGCTGCAGTTATAGCTTCCAGCCCGAATTTGGTTTAAAGTTCGACACCACCACTCTTACCAATCGTGAGTCTAGTTAGAGCCCTGCTTTCTCTCATTTTTTTTTCCTCGATTTGTTGTTGGTGAGGAATTGGTGATTCTGGCTTGTGATCGCATCGATTCACTTACGGTGTGCATTGGCTGAGGCATCTGGTGACCCGCTGCTTGCACCCAACTGCTTTATGCTGTGTGTCATTCTGAAGAAAAACAACAGACTCACTTTGCGTTTGACATTCCATGTTCTTCTCCTGTTCTTCTCCCGTCTGCCTAATGCATCATACCAGATAAAGTGTACCAGGGTTCCCAGTGCCGTATTTCTGTTTGTCCTCCCCATCTTGCTGGAGGGACCTCTACAACACATCTTACGTGGTGGAGCTGCTCGTTGTCAGCGCCATTCTGTTTGTCCCAACCCTGCTGACGTTGGAAACCCCTGACATAGCTGTTTGGTGACACCATCTTCCTGATCACAGGATGCAAGCAAGTGTCTATTACTCACTGTGGCAGGCAGTGCAGCATCTCTACGTCAGAGCCATGAGATTTCTGCAATCTGTGTTAATGCCCTTCTGTACTTGTTGGAGCCTGAGAGGGGCTGCCACTTTGTGCCGTGTACGTCACTGATTGAAATTATCATTCTGCAAGAAAGGATTGTTCACATTGTTCAAATTGAAACGCAATATGATCAATTTTCTCCGCATACGATATTTATGAAGAAATAACACAGCAGCCTCCTAAGAGATTACTAGTACTGGTAAGGTCCTAGGGTGATTGATTGTTCCTCGTAGTGTGCAATGATCATCATGGTTTGTCCCTACAGCATGTAGCACTTGTTTCCAGAGCTATTGCTCCTTAGCGCGTACACCTGCTTTGTCATTTCATACCTTCGAGCACCTTCAGCTCCGAGAGCCCTGAGCTAGCTCGCTCACTTATTGCCCTGCATACGCACAATTATTTGCACCACTGGTGTTTTCTGCTTCAAATAGCGCGTCACACGGCACCACACGCGACCACGGAAGCTGCAGATAGAGACTACTACTGCTACGCAACCAAGGACCCGTAATGGACACAACATTATTGGTTTCGACGTGGATCTTGCCGATTTTTCTGCGTTATTCCTGCCCATAGCGCGCCAAAATCGCCACCTGTTACGCGAACATATCCGCGAGGATCCATCCCCAGAGCGTGCACTACTCATACACTGGTTCTGCTGCGCAAGCTGACTCGTTCACGGGTTCACGGGTCCGAGGCTCGATAGGATAAGGATGATGATGAGGAGGAGTTTTTTTCTTCAATAATTGTAACGATGAGGTGAGCGCCGACTTCGTAGTTCCTGCCCGCGGCTCCGCTGCGTCGCGACCAGGAGACCCAGCAGGGCAAGGCTCTCTAGGCTGTACTGGCTGTATATCAGCATCAACACCGGAGTCTTCCAGAAGTGGTCTTATCCTTTTCGTATTTTCAGCGTTCTATTAATACATCTGTCAGGCTGCGCAATAATACTTGGTACACCAATCAGACTGATTGATTGATAACGTCAGCTGCACCGCTCGAAGTCATGTCGTTTACTTCAACCACAATGAGGAGCCCAGTGCTAGTAGTTGCTACTTTTCTCACAGTCTTCGCGTGCTGCGGCGTTGAAGCTTCTACTGAGACCATCAACTATGACTGTTTCACGCCGTGTAAGAACGCGTCCGGCGTCGTTACGGCCTGCGTCGAAGCATGCTCGGTATGTCACTCCGAAATGACTCAGATTTGTATGAGAATTGCCACGAACACTCTTCTGCGCGTTCTTGTTTCACCTGCTAGATGGATTATCAATCGAGATCGCCTTTGACTTGCCTACCTGTTTGCTCTTCGTGGTGGAAAGTTTGAAAATCAAAGCACATCGCTTTCGCCGGAAGAGGCGTGAATTGCTCATTGCTCTTTGCTCAAGACACACGTTCCGATTGGCTTATTGCTCCTCCCCCCTTCGCATTACCCCAATTCTTTCCATGCATATGGACCGCATTGGACCTCTATGGACCTATGGCAACCGATTTGCAAAATTATCGCACTGCAGCTGTGCGTGGGCACAAGTAGCGGCTGCAGCGTCAACTTCAAGCCAAATTGGGCTGATGTGACCGACGCCACCACTGGTACCACTGGTGCGTCTAGATAAAACCCTGGTCTTTTTCAATCCCTCTGTCTAGATCCCTCATCGGGTAAGACGAACTGGCGATACTGGCTCGTATCACATTACATATGGTGGTGGGCGTTGATTAAGGCCAGCGGTGACCCATGAATGCTGCTTGCACCCAACTGCTTTATACGGCGTGGCATCTCAATCAATAACAACACTCACTTTCTGTTTGATATTCTCCTCTTCTTCCTCCCTTTCGCCTCTTGCATAAACCACCACCAGGTAAAGTGTACATTGATTACCAGTGCAATAAGTCATGCCCTCTTGCGTGGTGGACGTGGCTCCTCATTGCCAGCTCCATTCTGTTGTTCGTCGTTGGCATCGCAATCATTATCTTCCGTTGCTGCAACTCCAACACGACCAATACGGCTCCCAAAGCTGCCGACGTTGAACAAGCCTGACAGCGCTGTTGTCCTGACAGGATGCAAATATGTATCACTTGAGAGCCCATTGAAATTAATAAAGTGTGCTGCTCATTGTGTTGATGAGTTGAGAATGTAGGCAATGTTAGTGAACTGTTATTGCTAATGTTCTAGCTTGTAATAAGCAAGGTTACAGTAGTATGATGACAAATTGCTCTGGCATGAAACTCTAGAATGGAAATGCAGAAGAATGCTAACGAGTACCCTTCATGTTTCTGGGTCAGGACTCTGCCTGACATTGCAAGAGAGAACATTGTTCTGCGCATTTTGAAATTCTTATGGGCCTTGATTGCAAGTGGTGTGAGAAGAGTCTTCGAATAAGAAAGCATTCATGTGCAATATAAGATAATGTCAGCCTTAACCATTACATTTTATCGTAACACTCTTGGCATAACCTCGTACTGTTTAGAGATCAATCTTGTGTCGCACCATCCCCGCGCTTTTTCCGCTCGTTACTGACCCTCTCGATTCAGTCGTCATTGTGTCAGAAACTGCGTGCGAGGCCATTGTAAAACGCAATTCACTGGTAACCCTTGCTTTCTGCACACGTCGCTGGGCAGACGAACACACTAGCGACCAGCTGGTAACTAGAGTACAAGGCAAGCCGACTGGTAACCAGCTGCCTCTGCCAGCCCACGGACACCTCTCATGCTTCTAGTCACTCCAAATCGACGGCTCTATTCGGATCCCGGCTCGGTAGACCACTAACATCAGGAACGCCAGTGGCGGATCTCCAGTCGCGAAACGCTACTCACGGAGCGCCAGTCGCGGAACGCCACTCGCTCACGATGGGCGGTCCGGCCTTCGATCTCCTCGCCAACCCGCTGGGAGCGGTGCGCGTCCTCTTCGATCGCGAGGTCCACCGGCTCCGCAGCGCCGCACAAGGCGGCGGCGATGGCGGAGGCGCGCAGGAGGCGATGAAGCGGCAGCTGGCGGAAGGGGACTGGGGAGTTCGCACACTCGTAGACGAATACCTGTTTCGTGATGGGAACATCGATAAGGTGGAGAATTTCGATTCGTTTTTGCCTAGATTTGTGATACACGTTGTTGACAAGTTACCGTTGCTACATCGATTGATTTCAGCCTTTGCAGCCTTACGCCTTTCGAGGCTGCGCGTGCCGGATCCACCTAGAACCGATAACACGTGGATCAATTTACTGAGGTTGTCTGTACAGCAAGCGACAGACCGTTAGAGCCACGCACCGATAACACACGGATTAACTTACTGAGGTGGTCCCTCCACGCCTGACCGTTAGCACTAACCGACACTTTGCTCTCTTGCTCTGAACAACCGTTTGCTTTGTTGCTCTGAACGACCGTTCTGCACTGCGCAGAGTCGGTCCCCGCAGTTTAGAGAATTTTCAAGAATGGAATTTTCCACAAATGACACAAACACCTGCAGGGTCAATATTAAGCCGTATCTTCTTTGCTTCTTACTCTCCCCCTCCTTAGGTGCCGGAGATTAACTCAGTGGGTGTGGATCACGTGCATTTTGACTCGACTCAAATTCGCGTGTATCTCAACGTCCCTCTTGGTTCTGCTTCCTTCCTTAGGTGCCGGAGATTAACTCAGTGGGTGTGGATCACGTGCCTGTGGGCTCGCTTGTCAGGTTCCGAGGCATGGTGAGTGTCTTGACTCGCGTTGACTCGCGTTGACTCGTTTGATTTAAGTTCCGGGCTTTAGTTGACTCATTTCATGAACCCATTCTGACGTGCATTGTCGCATTCTGACATTCATTGTCGCGTTCAAACATGCATTGTCGCATTCTAACATGCATTGTCGCATTCTAACATGCATTGTCGCATTCTAACATGCATACTCTCATGTTAGTTGTGCCTGCGTGAACTTGGTTCTGCTAGAAGCTTCCAAGATCAAAGCTTGAATCTCTAGGCTTCCACTACTGCTGTACCTTCTCTCGTTTCCGCAGGTACAGGACATGTGGGGCACGGAATTTTATCAAGGCCTCTACAAACGAAGCGGACAGGCCCCATCCGCTTCCCCCTCTGTCTCCTCCGCCCCCCCCTCTTCCCCCTGGCACACAACCAAATACACTGATGGGGACTACGGGGGAGGAATGGGGGGAGATGGGGCGGAGGGGTTTGGGGAAGGGGCGAGGGAAGGGGCGGCGGATTTTGGCAGTATTTGGGAGAGGCGGCTGCTGTACTGTGTGCCGGTGAGTCCTCCTTGTGGACGGCGTTTTTTGGCTCCACACTGGAAGCATCACTTTGGCTCTGCACTGCTCCTATCCGTTCATTCTAATTTCTATCTCTGGTGTGAAATTCCGCACTCCTGCCCCTTTTCTTTTCTCCCCAACTCCCCCCTCCCCGATTCCTCCTCCCCTGATTCCTCCTCCCCATTCACTCCTCCTCTCCACCTCCCCCTTCATTCGTTTTTATCCTTCTTCCCTCTCCGTCCTCTCCTCTCTTCCCCCCACCCCTTTTGCAGGTGCCGGGGGAGCAGCCATGGGCGCGGGCTCTCAGGGACGGGGGGAGGGAGGGCAGGGGGGACGAGTTACCAGGCGCTTCAAAACTCCTCTAACCATCTTCAGTAATTTCTATCCTTTCCCCCTTTCGGTCCTCTCTTCTCCTTCCCTCCCAGGTGCCGGGGGAGCAGCCGTGGGCGCGGGCTCTCAGGGACGGGGGGAGGGAGGGGAGGGGGAACCGGGGGAGAGGGGGGGGAAGCGGAGGGGAGGAGGGCAGTGGGGCGGAGAAGAGGGGCAGAGAGGAGGGGGACGCTGAAGCTATGGTGGGTCTCAACGTCTTTCCTTTTACTCTCTCTTGAGTTACCGTTTGGCCTCCCTTTCGCCTCCCTATGTGTGCCTGTAGAGTCTACCTTATGTCAACCCTATCTGGCCGGTATGTTGGCCAAACCAGTGACGTTACCGCTCACACTCTTGATGCATCAATCACGTTCTTGATGCTTGCAGGGCATGGACATAAAAGGCAGGACTCCCCTAGTGGAGTCACTGTTGACAATACTCAAAACCCCAAACCTTAAACCGCAAAGAATTTTCAGGAGTGATTCATGCCTTTCTTACGGCTCTCGATCTCGATGCGTGCAGGGCATGGACATGGAAGGCAGTACGGCTGGAGGAGCATCAGTTGACCCCAAGAGACAGGTACGTGTCCCTGTAACAGCGGAGCATCAGTGGCAGCACGGCCGTCTTGTTTTGTCCCTGTACACGCACATGTATGTCTCACTGAATTTGGGAACAAAGGAGGGGTGTGGAGGGGGGGAAGGGGGGTGCATCGGGGGAAGGGGGGTGGGTGAGGAAAAAATGCTGGTAAAGAAAGGTCCACTGACCTGCAAGGTGGAGGCCACACTTTCCCTCCCCCACTCTAATTGTCCCCAATCTCCCTCTCATTCTGACTTCTTCTCTCCCTGCATGCTTTCCTTCTTTCCCCTCCCCACCCGGCCACCACCGCAGTTACCAACACCACCGCCGCTGCCATCCCCACCAGCAGCAACACCACCCCAGCACAGCCCAATCCCTTCTCTCCCTGCATGCTTTCCTTTCTTCCCATTCCCACCAGGCCACCACTGCAGTTACTAACAGCACAGCCACTGCCAACCCCACCAGCAGCAGCAACGCCCCCTCACACCCCAGCAACACTGCTCCTGGGGAGGAGGGCCGTCCGTTTGTGGATCTGCACTTCCCTCTCGGCCCCTCTGCCTCTGCCTCCCACGGCCGCCCACTGCTGCCCTGCATTGTCAAGGTGAGTTTCAGAGCAGCAACACCCGCACAGCCTGGAAGTGCTGCTGCTGGCGACCCCACTCCGTTTGTGGATCTGCACTTCCCTCTCGGGCCCTCTGCCTCTGCTACTTCCCATGGCCGCCTGCTGCTGCCCTGCATTGTCAAGGTGGGCTTTAGAGCAGCATGCTCACTGCATGCCTAACTGCATGCCTAACTGCATGCCTAACTGCATGCCTAACTGCATGCCTAACTGCATGCCTAACTGCATGCCTAACTGCATGCCTCACTGCATGCCTAACTGCATGCCTCAGTGAAACAGAAACCTATAACGTGCCTATCAGAAACTTATAACGTGCCTATCAGAAACCTTAGCTCCACCGCCATTTGGTCGCGCACTCCTCCTCTCCCCCATGCACTCCTCCTCTCCCCCATGCACTCCTCCTCTCCCCCATGCACTCCTCCTCTCCCCCATGCACTCCTCCTCTCCCCCATGCACTCCTCCTCTCCCCCATGCACTCCTCCTCTCCCCCATGCACTCCTCCTCTCCCCCATGCACTCCTCCTCTCCCCCATGCACTCCTCCTCTCCCCCATGCACTCCTCCTCTCCCCCATGCACTCCTCCTCTCCCCCATGCACTCCTCCTCTCCCCCATGCACTCCTCCTCTCCCCCATGCACTCCTCCTCTCCCCCATGCACTCCTCCTCTCCCCCATGCACTCCTCCTCTCCCCCATGCACTCCTCCTCTCCCCCATGCACTCCTCCTCTCCCCCATGCACTCCTCCTCTCCCCCATGCACTCCTCCTCTCCCCCATGCACTCCTCCTCTCCCCCATGCACTCCTCCTCTCCCCCATGCACTCCTCCTCTCCCCCATGCACTCCTCCTCTCCCCCATGCACTCCTCCTCTCCCCCATGCACTCCTCCTCTCCCCCATGCACTCCTCCTCTCCCCCATGCACTCCTCCTCTCCCCCATGCACTCCTCCTCTCCCCCATGCACTCCTCCTCTCCCCCATGCACTCCTCCTCTCCCCCATGCACTCCTCCTCTCCCCCATGCACTCCTCCTCTCCCCCATGCACTCCTCCTCTCCCCCATGCACTCCTCCTCTCCCCCATGCACTCCTCCTCTCCCCCATGCACTCCTCCTCTCCCCCATGCACTCCTCCTCTCCCCCATGCACTCCTCCTCTCCCCCATGCACTCCTCCTCTCCCCCATGCACTCCTCCTCTCCCCCATGCACTCCTCCTCTCCCCCATGCACTCCTCCTCTCCCCCATGCACTCCTCCTCTCCCCCATGCACTCCTCCTCTCCCCCATGCACTCCTCCTCTCCCCCATGCACTCCTCCTCTCCCCCATGCACTCCTCCTCTCCCCCATGCACTCCTCCTCTCCCCCATGCACTCCTCCTCTCCCCCATGCACTCCTCCTCTCCCCCATGCACTCCTCCTCTCCCCCATGCACTCCTCCTCTCCCCCATGCACTCCTCCTCTCCCCCATGCACTCCTCCTCTCCCCCATGCACTCCTCCTCTCCCCCATGCACTCCTCCTCTCCCCCATGCACTCCTCCTCTCCCCCATGCACTCCTCCTCTCCCCCATGCACTCCTCCTCTCCCCCATGCACTCCTCCTCTCCCCCATGCACTCCTCCTCTCCCCCATGCACTCCTCCTCTCCCCCATGCACTCCTCCTCTCCCCCATGCACTCCTCCTCTCCCCCATGCACTCCTCCTCTCCCCCATGCACTCCTCCTCTCCCCCATGCACTCCTCCTCTCCCCCATGCACTCCTCCTCTCCCCCATGCACTCCTCCTCTCCCCCATGCACTCCTCCTCTCCCCCATGCACTCCTCCTCTCCCCCATGCACTCCTCCTCTCCCCCATGCACTCCTCCTCTCCCCCATGCACTCCTCCTCTCCCCCATGCACTCCTCCTGTCCCCCATGCACTCCTCCTCTCCCCCATGCACTCCTCCTCTCCCCCATGCACTCCTCCTCTCCCCCATGCACTCCTCCTCTCCCCCATGCACTCCTCCTCTCCCCCATGCACTCCTCCTCTCCCCCATGCACTCCTCCTCTCCCCCATGCACTCCTCCTCTCCCCCATGCACTCCTCCTCTCCCCCATGCACTCCTCCTCTCCCCCATGCACTCCTCCTCTCCCCCATGCACTCCTCCTCTCCCCCATGCACTCCTCCTCTCCCCCATGCACTCCTCCTCTCCCCCATGCACTCCTCCTCTCCCCCATGCACTCCTCCTCTCCCCCATGCACTCCTCCTCTCCCCCATGCACTCCTCCTGTCCCCCATGCACTCCTCCTCTCCCCCATGCACTCCTCCTCTCCCCCATGCACTCCTCCTCTCCCCCATGCACTCCTCCTCTCCCCCATGCACTCCTCCTCTCCCCCATGCACTCCTCCTCTCCCCCATGCACTCCTCCTCTCCCCCATGCACTCCTCCTCTCCCCCATGCACTCCTCCTCTCCCCCATGCACTCCTCCTCTCCCCCATGCACTCCTCCTCTCCCCCATGCACTCCTCCTCTCCCCCATGCACTCCTCCTCTCCCCCATGCACTCCTCCTCTCCCCCATGCACTCCTCCTCTCCCCCATGCACTCCTCCTCTCCCCCATGCACCCATCACGTGTAAGACAGCGTGGACTCGCAGCTCAAGCTGAGCCAGGTGGTGGAGTTGGTGGGGGTGGTGGCTTCTGCTGCACTCATTCTACATGCATGGTGTCCCCGTTCCCCTCGTGCTTCCCCCTGTGCATGCGTGCACATCGCCCCACCAGCTGTACGACAGCGTAGAGGCACAGGTCAAGCTGAGCCAGCTGGTGGAGTCCGTGGGGGTGGTGACAGCACCACGCCCACTCGCTGTAACAGCACCTCTCCCCCTCCCTCCCACTGCTGCCCATGCATGCGTGCACATCCTCCCATCAGCTGTACGACAGTGTGGATTCCCAAGTAAAGCTGAATCAGGTGGTGGAGTTTGTTGGGGTGGTGATGGCACCACGGTCACTCACTTACACGCTGTCTCCCTCTCGTCTCTCCCACTCTCCCCCATTCACCCATCAGCTATACGACAGTGTGGAGTCCCAAGTAAAGCTGAATCAGGTGGTGGAGTTCGTGGGAGTGGTGGCACCCCCATCCGCCCCCACCGTGCATGCCCACACAGCAGCAGCACCACAAGACGCAGCCACAGGCGCAGGCGCAGGCGCAGGCACAGGAGCAGGCATGGAGGTGGAGATGATGGGGGCGGATATGGGCATGGGAGCGGGCCCGTCTGCCTGTCTGCCCAGCAGCCAGGTGCTGCGCCTGCACTGCTTCACCTGGAGGAAGCTTCCCGACCTCTTTCAAAGTGACATGGAGCCCACTGTAGCGGTGAGTAGTATTGGTATCCCATTGTCTGTGGAACTGATGGCCTCTAGGCTTGCCCATCACTCCGCGCTTGCATCATACCATCCCTCCTTAGTACCATCCTCCTCGTTTGACCCTGCCCAGTTCTCCAATCCTGTTTGCCCCACCGCATCTCCTTCCCTGACTTCTCGTTTCTTACTTTTGAGTCGAGTCAAAAGTCACCTCAAAATGTGCCGCTCCCCATTCTCCTTCACTGACCTCTCCTCATCTCTTACCATTTCCTCCCCCCGCCGCCTCCAAATGCCACTCTGCAGGCAGCGGCGAGCATCAGGGCGGCGCTGCTGTCCCGATTGGCTGCTGCTCTGGGCGGCGACAGGCTGGCGGCAGAGTACCTGCTGCTGCACGTGCTGTCACGAGTATGTTTTGTGTGAGATGATATGGCTTATGGTAGGTGTGCGTTTGCCGTGGAATGATATAGCATCTGGTGCACACCTGTGACAGGCTGGCTGCAGAGTATTTGCTGCTGCACCTGCTGTCACGAGTATGTATGGTATGAGGTGATATGGCATAGGGCATGACGTACTGGTCGCTCGGGTGCTGCTGCTCAAGACATGACATGATATGATGTCGTGCGTGTGTCATATGATACGCACGACATGATCTGCTGTGTATGATTTGTGATGTGCTCTGCTGGAATTGTGTGGTATGGTATCATGCCGTGAATCTCACTCCACATTGTGCATGCATGCAATTGCCACCATCCACATCCCACTGTAGCACCATGGTTCAATTCAACAGCGTTTTATCCCCCTGTCCCCTGCATTACTGGGTGCATGTCTGCATGTATTCATGTGTCCATTTCTGCTTGTACGCATGATTGGTTCCATTTCATATATCCATATGCTTGATTTTATGTGTGCATGCATGCATGTCATCAGGTGCACACTCGCATAGAACCCATGCCTCTCGGAAAACTCTCTCTCAACCTCTCCGGCTTCCCAGAACCTTCCTCCGCCTCCACTCCCTCTCCAACCCCTCCCCCTCTCTCCTCTTCCCCTCCCTCACTCTCCCAAGCCGCCTCCCCCTCCCTCTCCGCCCTCACCTCCTCTCTCCAAACCCTCCTCCCAGCCACCCACACTCTCCCACTCTCTCTAGACACTCTTAACTCGCGCCGTCTCACACCCCATAAAGACTATACCTCTGACAGGCTAGTCTCTGGTGTGCTACAGCTGCCAGCAGGGACGCACCTAACTATTGACGAGACTTCTTTAAAGCCGGGAAGGGTGACGGCGCTAGGGAGTCAGAACCTGCAGGCACTTAAAGAGCTATTGGAGTGGCAAAAAGTGGACTACGATTTTCAGTACTATAAGATGGAGATGCAGAGTGATGTTCCGGTGCTGATTCTATCCCATGCCACGTCACGCCTCCTGCCTGCTGACGTCAGCTTGCCTGTGCGGTGCACGGCGCCACCTCAGCCTGTCCGTGAGGACGAGTCGGAGGTCGCCACGTGGCGGCGGTACATTGGCTGCTGCCGGCTGTTGGAGCATGAGATCAAGGAGGACATGCGGGAGGTGCGTGTTCTGTTGTTTTTGCTGAGAGATCGTGTTAATGAATGGGGTGCAGATGAATGTGAGTGTATATGCGGCTATTGGAGCATGAGATGAAGGACGACATTCAGGAGGTGCGTGTGTGTGATTGCTGGTTGCTGGTGGGAGGGTATATGATGAGTGTGGTGGAGCACGAGATTGAAGACAACATGCGGGAGATGCGTGTCTGTGGTTGCTGCTGAGAGGATTGCTGATGCGTACCACCAAGTGCGGGCATCGAAGCTGCATCCAGCCTCAGCAACCCATGTTCACCACCTTACATCCCACCCTCCCCACATCCCACCCTCCCCACATCCCACCCTCCCCACATCCTACCCTCCCCACATCCCACCCTCCCCACATCCCACCCTCCTCACATCCCACCTCCCCACATCCCACCCCCCCCATATACCACCTGTGCTGGCAGCAAGTGGAGCGGGAACTAGTGGCAGCACGGCAGCAGGACCCCTCTCTCGACTCCGACACTTTCCACCGGTACGTGCTGCTTGCTGCTGCTTGTGATGGTTGTTGCTGGGCTGTTGCGGGGCATTTTTTTATCTCCTCAGAAGCTCATGGCAGCGCGGCAGCAGAACCTTCCACCGGTACGCGCTGCCTGCTGCTGCTTGTCATGGCTGTTGCTGGGCAATGCCTGTCGCGGGGCATTCTTTACGCTCCTCAGATGCTCGTGGCAGCGCGGCAGCAGGACCCTTCTCTCGACTCCGACACTTTCCACAGTACGCGTTGCCCGCCTTCTCCTTGTGATGGTTGCCTCGCTGCTGCTGGGTGATGCCTGCTGCTGTGCTCCTTAGAGATCTCTCCTGCTCTGTTGGACCAGGTACAGGAAGACCCCTTTTTGGATCCTTATTTCATCTACGGCTTGACTTTTGAGTCGACTCAATAGTCACCTTGTTGGGCTAGGCAGTGAGGTTTTGTTTGGCATGCTGTGTGCTGTGATGGTGGTGCATGGGGATCATATGTGCTTTTTTGTCTGATTTGCTGTTGTCTGCGGGTGGGCACTGGGCATGCAGGTGGCTCACGTTGGCTCGTCTGGCAGCAGCGAGCTTCGGAGAGAGGGAACTATCAAGGGAGAGGTGGCAGGCAGTCAGGGACTTGGAGCGAGCCAGGGAGGCTCGTAACCGAGTGGTGTAGGTGTAAGCATGAAACATCATACGGTATGATCAATACTAAACGCTTGTTGCTAATTGAAGCAGGTGTGTAAATTTTTTTCCACTATAACATTGAGTAAATGCGGCCAAAAATCCAATGCCCAAGCTTTCTCCGCTGTGCATGCCTTTCACCCATCCTCAAATGTACATAGTTCTACAATCTCTATTGAAATCACATAACCAGCTCTTGTATCTGCATCTTAACCTGAAGTCAAAACAGCAACCATTTCACTCTTGTGCCGAGAACCGGAGCCGCCTGTGCCGCACCGGTCATACCAACCTCGTGAGTTGTAGCGAGACTATGGAACTGTCCTTGGTTCCCTCAGTTCTTGCCTAGAGATTCCTTCTCTCTCGATTCCTCCTCTCTCGACTCGAAATCTTCCCTTGATTCTTCAACTAGACTGTACAGTAGTATTTCATTTCTTTTCCAAGCATCCCTTGCGATTCCAAGTTGTTGGTTTTCCAGAAACAACGCCAACCACGAGGCCACTAGGAAGAGCGAATCCATAGCAGATAATTGCGGCAAGGCGCGTGAAGCTCGGTCAGATGATGCCGTGCCTGCCACCTGTCAGGGCCACCAGCGTGGCATGTGACCATCCATATCCACCTCCTCACACCGCCTCACTCGAGTCAATCCACGAAAGTCTCGCCTCGCCAGGATCCATCGGACCGCCATGGGAACTGCGAGCAGTCGTAGCCGAGACGGCTGCTTCAAGGGTCGTCCCTCTCTCCGTTCCAAGAATTGTCGTGTAGGGTCTAGACCCGACTGCCAGTCGCCCGTGTGCTTGCGACCTCCGTAGGGAAACGCTCGTGGAGCAGATGAATGGAGTCAAATGGAACAACGAGCGAGTGGTATCGCCGCTTTGAGTTTTCAGGCCTCTTCTTTCCCTACTGCGCGACTCTCCACTGGGTATACCCAGACGATTATATTGAGAATCCTTTTTCGGAAATACTTCCTGGTCTCGCGCAGGAATCGCTATGGACTCGCCTTTTTTCGCTCGTTCCTACACCGCCCGTAACACCGGCAGCGGCGGCGGCGGCGGCGGCGGCGGCGGCGGCGGCGGGAACGGTGTGAAGAAGCGCGCATGGGACAGCCTCTCCCCTTTGCCTTCTCCCGTGTCCACTCTCCTATTTCCCGAAAGCCCGGCGGGACGCACGAGAGCCTGGAAATACGGCACGTGCGACAGCAGCAGCCCCGCGAGTGTCGCTCTCAGTTCGCGAACCGAATCAGTGACGACTCGAAAGCGTTATTGCGGCTCCCCCAGCTTCTTAGATCCGCTCTTTAGCCGGCTCAAACCGGCCGTCCGATGCGTCCTATCCAACGGTCCGCAGTCGCTGCAGCCGCTCGAATCGGCCGGGCAGTACGAGCCGGCGCCCACGCCGAGATACGTCCAATGGCCGCCACCATGCGACGCGCGTGGCTCGCACGCGTCGCCACGTGCCCGCCACGAGTACTTCCTCCGACAGCTGGCGTCTCCCGTTGCAGTTTCGAGCCCTCGTCACCCCGCGGCCCCCGCCGCAAATCTCGCTACCAATCCAACCACAAGTATTGGTCGCACCGACGCTACAGAGCCTTCCGAAGCTAGAGCGAATACCGGCGAGCCGCTGACAGATTTGACGCTCGCCGGGTCGCGGATTCCTCGCGGCGCCATGACGCGACCCGCGACGACGATCGCGCAGCTGATGCTCATCCGCGCGTGCCACAGCGAGGCGCTCCGCCGCCACAGCCTCGGCACCGCGCTCGGCTTGCGCACGCGGCGCGGAATACTCACCGACATCCCCGCTATAGTCGTCTTTGTTCCACGAAAGGTGCACGAGGAGTGGCTGCTGCCGGCGCAGAAGCTTCCGAGGAAGCTGCAGGGACCGGGTGGGTACGAGTGTGACGTGGACGTGGTGGAGCTGACCAATCAGAGCAGTGGCAGTAGCAGCAGCAGCCCGGGCGCTGCAGGCCACGTGGCGGGTGACGTGGCAGGTGACGTGGTGGGATGAGCAGCAGCGTTGGTGGGAGCAGTAGTCATCTTGGAGTGGGGTTTCTGGCGACTCGCCACGTGGCAGTTGATTTGGACCAGCCGAAGCAGAAGCTGTTTCACCCCCTGCCCTCGTCGCTTGGTCCGGGGAGGTTCTTAGGCTCGGTGGAACGAGCCTTGCCGTTTGTCCCGGACCACGCGTGGTTCGGCGTGTTCGCCAACATGAACCCAGGTGCCAATTGGTCTCGTTATTAGGTGATTTCATATGAATTGTAGCACTCAGCCGGTGTTCTTCTACATGTTTATTCCTCCCTATCACTTACACCATACACCCTTCTCTACTTCCCCTCCCCCTCTCCTCTGCCCTCCTCCTCCCATCCTTTCTCAACCTCCCTCTTCCCTCGACCCCCCAAATGTCCCTCCCTATACATCTTCCCCACGTCCCCTCGTCCCCGTTACAAGCAGACTCGTTTGTGCGCACGGATGGTGCATACATTCCCTTCCACGAGGAGTTTGACTTGTCAGTCGTGACGACGCAAGTGGCGGGAATCGGCCCCATTGGCCCGCCCCGCCGCATCAACCTATCAGATGACATCCGCAGTGTGGTGGGACAGCACGTGTGGAAGGTGCGTGGAAGGTGCATAGGTAAGCGATCTGCAAGGGTGATGACGGGGGCTAGATGTTTGACACCCACACACGCTCTCTTTCCCCACTCTCCTCTCCTCCCTCACCTCTCTCTTTCCTCCCCTCTCCTCTTTCTCTCCTCTACTTTTGTATTCTTTCTCTTGCCCCCTCTCTCTCTTCTGCCCCGCTATCTCCTCTGCCCCCTTCGCTCCTCTCAACTTCACTCTCCTGCTTCTCCTCTCTCTCCCCTTTCTCTCCCTTCAGGTGGGCAGCGCCTCAGGTCTAACCCACGGCACCATAGCAGCATACGCAGTGGAGCACAGCGATCAGGGGGGCACGTCCCTCTTCACATACCATGCCCTTTTCCCCTTCCCTCCCCTGTGCTTTCACTGGCTTCTCCCTTTTCAGGTGGGCAGCGCCTCAGGTCTAACGGTGGGCATCATAGCAGCATACGCAGTGGAGCACAGCGAGCAGGGGGGCACGTCTCTCTTCACGGATCTCCTCATAGTGGGCCAACACGGCCACGTGTTTGACACCGAAGGGGACTCGGGCGCGCTAGTGCTCATGCTGCCCACAGCTGCCCATTCACCAGCCGTGCTTGCCTCTCTAGCGCTGTCGTCTCCTCCCCCTGCTGTGCCGCCTCCTCCCCCTGCTGTGCCGCCTCCTCCCCCTGCTGTGCCGCCTCCTCCCCCTGCTGTGCCGTCTCCTCCCCCTGCTGCTCCGCATCCTCCCCCTTCTGCTCCGCCTCCTCCCCCTTCTGCTCCGCCTCCTCCCCCTCCTGCTCCGCCTCCTCCCCCTTCTGCTCCGCCTCCTCCCCGTTCTGCTCCTCCTGCTGCACCCATACCCTCCGCCCAGCCCCCCATACCCACTGCACAAGCAGCAGCACTGTCACCAGAAGCACGAGCAGCAATAGCAGCAGCAGCACCAGCAGTAACAGTAGCAGCACCATCAACATCACCAGTAGCAGCACCAGCAGCAGCAGCACCAGCACCACTACCACTACCACTATCACCATCAGCAGCAGCAGCAGCAGCGTTTCTAGTGCCAGTGGCAATGGTGTTGGGGGGAGGTGGAAGCAGAGGCGGGATGAAGCTGGGGAGTGGCAGGGAGGCGCAGCAGTGCAGCACTGCAGTTGACCTTTGCCGCCTGCTCTCCTTGCTTGATTTGGACATGGTTACCACTGATGGCGAATTGATAGGTGAGGTGGTTACCACTGATGGCGAATTGAGAGGTGAGGCGGATACCACTGATGGCGAATTGAGAGGTGAGGTGGTTACCACTGATGGCGAATTGAGAGGTGAGGTGGTTACCACTGATGGCGAATTGAGAGGTGAGGTGGTTACCACTGATGGCGAATTGAGAGGTGAGGTGGTTACCTCTGATGGCGAATTGGCAGGTGAGATGGTTACCACTGATGGCGAATTGGCAGGTGAGATGGTTACCACTGATGGCGAACTGAGAGGTGAGGTGGTTACCGCTGACGGCGAATTGAGAGGTGAGGTGGTTACCCATGACGGTGAATTGACAGGTGAGGTTTTTTTTTTTTTTTTTTTTTTTTCTTGACAGGTGAGGTGGTTACCACTGACAGCGAATTCACAGGTGAGGTGGTTACCCCTGACGGCGAATTGACAAGTGAGGTGGTTACCAGTGACGGCGAGTTGAGATGATCACATGATTTTCCCTGAAGTTAGCTCTGTTCCACCATAATGTCCAAGTGTGTAATTCTCTTCCATAGATTCTGCTCGTGTTTGACCTTCATATCGCTTCAATCTACCTCATCTCCAATCCGTTTGCTTGCAGTGTTGGCTGAAAGGCAGAGACTTCTCAACACACCGGTCACGATCCTCCCACTCCTGGGGATGCTGCTGGTGGTTCTGCTGATGCAGGTGGAAGGGGGGAAAGAGGGAGAGGGGAGGAGATTGAGGAAGCAGGGATTAAAGAGGAAGAGGAAGGGAAGGAGGGAGAGGAAGAGAGTGTGGGAAAGAGGCAACGAGTGGAAGGGTGAGGGGGACCGGAAGGCTGGAAAGCAAGAGAGGAAGAAAGTGGTAACATGGGCGCGACGAGGGTGAATGAGAGGAGGAAAATGGGGGGGAGCAAGTGAGAAGAAGGGCGAGGGTGAGACATGGCAAGAGTGGGAGTGGGAGCGGGCAGGGGATGACGATTGGAGGCACGAGCATGTGCAGTCTCACTGCTGTGGTTGCACGTGGCCATCTCACTGCAGACTCACTGCTGTGGTTGCACGCAGAGTTGAAGACACCCGCCGATTCTTCTCCTCACATCCTTTTCATGTCCTGCCTTGGTGAGTGGTGCTGAGAGTGGGTGAGCGGTGCTGAGCGGTGCTGAGTGGTGCTGAGTGGTGCTGAGTGGTGCTCGAATGTGCCGTTCCGCCTGCTGACAAGTCGGTCTGCTTCTTTTTTCTGTGGAAGGGGGAATAGGCCATCCCTCTTATCAGCATCAGCTATCCTTACGTGTCCTTTTGCCTGATTTTCCCCACTCAACTCTGTTTACCCTCCGTGCTGCTCCTCCCCTGCTACACACTCTTGTCTACCCTCTTGTCATATTCTCACACATTCTCACACATTCCCACACGTTCTCAGGCATTCTCAGGCATATTCCCAGAAAGGTGGTCTGGGTGCGCCACAGCCAGAGTGTGAAACAGCAGGGCATCTCCCCCTTTACCCCACTGCTGGTGATGGCTGCACCACGCCTCGTGCACTGCCTTACTATGGAACTGTTGTGCCAACAATGTTGCAACTCAAATGTTTAATTTTGATGAAGCGATTGATCAACACATGCAGATCGACACAAGCATAGAGTTTATGGTACGGTATACAATAGAAACAACACAAATTGGTAGAAACATCTCACACTGCTCATGCAAAATCCATTTGCACATAGTTCAATAGCGCCTGCTCCACATCCTGCCCAATTCGATTCACTGAGTCAACGAGCAACCAGTGTGGCAGATGCCATGCCAATGGCAGCGCCGATTGTGGTAAGCAGCCACATGCCAAATAAGCAAAGCAACGACCTGCATCCTCTGCAGCAGATGGGGGTGGCAGCAAGCAAGGCAGCATGCACTTAACGCATCGGAGGCACACCAGCATCCAGTCAATCGGAGCAGCAGGTGTGAGTGGGCACACAAGACCTGTGAGGACAGCTGCAGGCATGTCAGTCAGTGGATCTATCTTCCCCCACGCATGCGTAGACACGTGCGGATGTGCTCGTATGATTGATCAAGTCTGCACCCAGCAATCTCTTTCGACTTGCAGAGTAGCTCCTTCACAAGATTCTATGCGCCATGAAATAAGAAAGGTATGCCAATACCCCTCCCACTGGGTACATACCGAATCTGACCTGCAGAGTTGCAGCAGTGACGAGGAAAGTGGTTACAGGTGGGCGAGAGGCGGCATGATAAGCACCCAAGGATGTGAGCCGCCACCACGTTTGCTTCGGGGGGGCAGAGACAGGTTAGCACAGAAGGGGAACAATGGAGCGACCCAGCAGGCACACAAGAAGCGAATGTGAAAATAGCAATTTCAAGGCAGCGGCGAAGAAATGAGTGACTGGTGTAGCGGCGAGATGAATGGCAGGGCATGAGGGCCCCAGAAGCTGTGGCACGGAACAGGTTGCATCGTCCCTACCTGCACGCCTGCAGAGAGGAATGTGCGGTGAGGAGGAGAGACTGACGAGAATGCAAGGTTCAGTGAGGGATGAAAACCATTTCAATAAGCCCCTCTCCGCCCATTCGAGTCCCCCCTGTCTATTTCCATCCCCCCTGTGATGTGAAATCAACCAACCCAATGTAAAATCCCTTGCCATCTGAACCACATCCAAACTCTACCTGTTGGCACGAGCGGTCATTGAAGGCGATAGAAGGGAGCCTGGAAAGGTGCTCATGCAGCACCACGGACATGCCCATCCGCAATGCTGCACGCTCCCATGCACGCCCTCAGTGCATCGGTGAAACACCCGCGCTGGACAGGAAGAGCTGCTGAGGCATGGGCGGATGGAGAAGAGAGAGAGCATGGTAGGGATGCGTCATGTGATGTTAAGGCGGAACCGGATAGAAGAGGGTGGATAGCAAACCGAGACAAAGGAAAGGTAAGGATGCGAGGAGAATGGAAGCGACGAGGTGGGAAGCGGGGAGGGAAGAGAGGAGGGAAGAGGTGGGGGAAGAAGGGACGAAGGATGGCGGGAATGTGGGTGGTGGTGGCGCCAAGGGCACTGCGTCTTATTTCTGCCCTGCATGCATCTCATACAATCACATCAATTCCTCCCCTCCCATCCCATCCCATCCCATCCCATCCCATCCCATCCCATCCCATCCCATCCCATCCCATCCCATCCCATCCCATCCCATCCCATCCCAACCCATCCCATCCCATCCCATCCCATCCCATCCCATCCCATCCCATCCCAACCCATCCCATCCCATCCCAACCCATCCCATCCCATCCCATCCCATCCCATCCCATCCCATCCCATCCCATCCCATCACATCACATCGCATCAACATAGCCACGTCAGCATACCTGCCTCACAAGTGCTGCAGCATCCCATGCTGCTGGTGCCACTGGTGCCTCACAAGCGCTATTATTTGTAACACGTTACAGCGAGCTGCAGCGTCACCCCCACAGTGAGCCCGAGCGCGTCCCCATGCTGCTGACGGCGCTGGTGCATCCGCGGAAGGAACACCGCCGGGCCGTGGCCGAGGGGGACGAGTCGGAGGGGGAAGGCGGAGGGGGGGATGGGAGAGGGAGGTTGGGGGAGGGTGGGGAAGGAAGAGAGAGGCGGTAGTGGTCGAACGAGTGACCAACAAAAGGCCTGCGGGACATCGGAGGAGGGGGCGAGGGTAATGGAATCTGCGAATGCAACGACGTGGCAGGTACACGCGTGCAATTACTCTCGCTTTGACGGCATAAACGAAATGCTTTATTTCGAATGGCAGAAGGGAGATGTATCACTTGAAACGGGACAGAAAGGAACGTCGTACGCGATTCGGAAGAGGGAAAATGACTTACTTTAACGACGGAACGAAATGCTTTACGTGAATGACAGGAACGGGATGCCTAAAGGGATGCCTTACTACTAAACGAGGGGAAAGGAATGCGTTGCTCCCGCACAGCCGCACCATGCCGTACGGTGCGTGCCCTAGACGATACGCGAGGAACAGCCCTCCGGCCGCTATTCCAGCCCACGTGACGACGGTTAAGCACCAGGGGACTAGGTGCTGCCACGTAGCACCATCCTGCCACGTCACCGTGCTAGACTGTGACTGTGCTAAGAGCGCGGATTTCTGAAGTTATACGAGGCAGGCAGTAGCAGGGAAAGATATGCGACCAGAGATTACACTTGGATACGCAACTCATTTTGGATGCTGAAACCGAAGTCCAAGGCCAAACATTCCAGACCAGCTCAATCTGACGGCCAGCATTCGCCCAAGCTGTGTTTGAGGTTCGGAACCGGCTCGACCCAGAGCCTGTTAGGTATGTTCGGGTCAGATCTGGTTCGACCCACATTCCCGCTGGAGTCTTCGCTGCTCAGGGCCGATCTTTGGAGTGCTTCTCTTCCCGCTCTAGTGTATCTATTTCGCCACAGTAGATTGGCATTCGCCAACGGTCGGCCATCATGGTTCACAGCCTGCGAGCTCCAGGACGAGCATCCACGCGATTATTTGCGTAACAGCTGTGGTCCCCCTTCGCCACGCAATTGACTAACCATGCGTCGCCACGTGCAGGAAATCAAACCATGAACACTGTTTTAAATTGTTTCAAACCGTTTCAAACCGTTTTAGTCAGCGAATCTCCCATCCCTCCCATCCCATGTCACACCTCCCATTTTAGATCCGCTGAGAATTCCAGGGCCCAGTTCGGCAGCCAGGGGGAAGAAAAATGTTCGGAAGATGTGTGGAAGGTAAGGCGGGCGTCAACCCAGGGTCAACATTCGTTGACCCTGTTTTCCGCGAATTGCGGATAACCTGCGCCATCTGCGAGCTGGCGGAGGGTGGAGGGGGGAGGTATGAAAAATCGCCGCAGGAGAGAGGCACATTTTGCCTCAAATTCGCTTGTTCCTTTGCACTGTAGCGGGAACAAAAAGGTTCGCCAAGAAGGGAAAAAATATTCGCGCCCCACGCTTTTGGGGAAATCCTATTTTCAAAAACCGGACAATGTGTTTTTTTATGCAGTAACCCTTTCCTTCGTAGGGTGCAATGTTGTCCCGTGAACAGTGAACCCAGGTGGAATCAAAAAGTTGATTCTTGTTTTGTGAGAGAATCGCTTTCTTCTTCCGTCTCACTAGTGCGGAAGCTTTCCGCCAAGGGGGGAGAATAAGGACAGAAGACGGCGCGGAATCAGATTTTGCCTGTGTTCGCGTCGCTGCTGCTAAACACCTGCGCTTCGATTTTCGAAATGTTTACCCTACAACCCGCACTGTACAGCCCTCGATAATGCGAATTGAAGCTTCATAGAAGATGAGCAAAATTTTTATTCCGTCCTTCTTCCGTGGCTGCCGAACTGGGCCCAGATCCCTTCCCTTCCATCACCCAGCAGCTCCTTTCGGCAACTCTTGATCCGAGTTCACCATGTTCGAATTACAACGAGCATCACAACCAGCAATTTCCAATCATCATCCAAAGAGCTCCCTTCCATCATCCAAAGAGCTCCCTTCGATTTCACCCTTCTCCCCTCGCGCTTCCCCTTCCTCCAGGGTTTCGTCCTGTGGATTTCGTCTGTCCTGCCAAATCCGCCAGCCTCTTCGGTTAGTACTTCCTTCTTCCCTCTTCAGTCTGCTAGGACAGATCGATCCGCAGAAAAGCTTGTAGTCTCCGTCGTTCTTGCCTTTGGCTTCACAATAAGCTCAAGGAGTCGTCACCAGTGCGTGCCCCTCGCTTTAGTTTGTCACAATGTCAGACGAGTCGGCAAATCTGGTCCTCCGAAACGACGATTTGCTCGCCAAGATCCTGCACTGCGCTGCTCAGCCCAACCAGTTCGTGCAAGCACTGGT